TTACACTGGGTAGAAGGCTTTGTGTGCCATGCACACTTCTTTAGATAAGATTCAGGGGGGTAGCCATGTTGGTCTGAAGCAAGAGAACAACCTTTGAGTCTAGTGGCATCTTTAAGACCAACACATTTTCATTCTGGGTGTAAAGCTTTCATCTGCACGCACATGTTAAAGACAAGCTCCCCTGGGCAGGGACTTGCCTCCTTTGCTGATGACACCCAGTGTCCGGAGGACAATACATGCATTTCAAGCTCAGCTGCACACAGGAATCATAAGAACATAAGACCCCAGCTGGATCAGGCCAGTGGTCCATCTAGTCTAGCACCCTGCCGCACACAGTGGCCAACCAGTTCCTCTGGAGGGCCAACAGCAGGGCAGAGAGGCCAAGGCCTTCATTTTATTTATTTATTTATTTATAAGTATTTTTACCCCGCCCTACCCCGCAAGCGGGCTCATAAGAACAGCAGAAGAGCCCTGCTGGATCAGACCAGTGGTCCATCTAGTCCAGCATCCTGCCACACAGAGTGGCCAAAAACAACAAAACTGGGGCCAAAATCAGTCCAATAATACAGTCTTAAACATTAAATATGTATGCTAATACAATCACTTTTATCAGCTTCGAAGCTTACTCTGTCAAAGACAGGTCCCATATGAGAAACCTCTTAAGGAAATAAGTGCTAGTCCCTATATTAATTGTAGCAATTCTTGAGAAGAAAAGTCTTTAGGAACTAGGAAGTAACATTACACCAGAAGGAAAACTCCTGTACAATATAAGCTAACTTGCTTCTGAGGAAGTTAAGAGACGAAACCAAGCACAAGCCGGCTGCTTTGTCAAGCTTTACATTCCTTGCCAGGCTTTACATTCCTTGCCTGATAACAGCACATGTTGAAAGTCTACTAGTACTTTTTGGCTGTTAGCAATAATTGGTATTATGTAATATTACTGTATGTTAGTATATTAGTATTGTATAACATTAGGATATTGTATGGTTAGGTTGTATACCTTGTTAATACCGGTAATTTGTATACTTAGATATTATTATCAAGTATAAAAGTGATTGTATTAGCATACATATTTAATGTTTAAGACTGTATTATTGGACTGATTTTGGCCCCAGTTTTGTTGTTTTTGGTATCACAGAGTGGCCAACCAGTACCTCTGGAGGGCCAACAACAGGGCATAGAGGCCAAGGCCTTCATAAGAACATCAGAAAGGACCTGCTGGGATCAGACCAGTGGTCCATCTAGTCCAGCCTCCTGTCTCACACAGGGGCCAACCAGTTCCTCTGGAAGGTCAACAGCAGGGCTTCCCCTGATGTTGCCTCCTGGCTCCGGGATTCAGAGGATTAGTGTCTCTGCATGTGGAGGTTCCCCTCAGTCACCAATGGCTAGTGGCCATTGAGAGACTTATCCTCCATGAATCTATTTAATCCCCCTTTAAAGCTGTTTATTCCTGTGGCCATCACAACATCCTCTAGCAGCGAATTCCATATTTTAATCACTCTCTGTGTCAAGTAGTATTCCCTTTCGTCTGTCCTGAACCTACTGCCCATCAGCTTCATCGGAGGCCCTTGAGTTCTAGTATTTCAGGAGAGGGAGAAAAGGTCTCTTTGTCAACTCCCTCCACTGTATGCATACTTTTATAAACCGCTAACATGCCTCCCCCCTCTTTTCTAAACTGAAAAATCCCAGAATCTTCAGCCTTTCCTCATAGGGAAGGTGCTCCAAGCCCCTCATCCTCTCGGTCGCCCTCCTGTGTACTTTTTTCCAGCTCTGCAGTGTCCTTTTTGAGATACGGTGACCAGAACTGTACACAAGATTACAAATGAGGCCGCACCAAAGATCTATACGGGGGCATTACAATATCGACCCTTCGACAGAGAGGCAGAGAAGCGCCTCTGATTTCTTAACACCCCAGGCTGCGACACCCAGGCCACTCCCCCCCCCCCCCCCGCATTACGCATTAACATCCCAGGCTGCTTCACGCCTGCCGCCCTCACCGGAGGCGGATGAAGAACTTGTACTGCACCAGGATGGTGAAGATGAAAAAGACGAAGCCCTCGACGGCCATGGCAAAGATATTTTTCCCAGCCAGGTCCCAGCTGAGTGGAGAAACAAAATGCTTGTCGCCTGGGAGAGGAGAAACGGAAGGTGAAACAAAAGTGACCTCCCGCTGGAGGGATGACATATTTCCAATAAGCCGGTTGGGAACATCTACAGCAGGAGTGTCAAACATGTGGCCCGGGGGCCAGATCAGGCCCCCCGGGGGCTTCTATCGGGCCCGCAGTGGAACTGGCTGGCTTCTGCTTCTTCTTCCAGTTCTGCTCTGCTGCATCATCGTAGGTTTGCAGCTTACAGATACGCACCTGAACAGCATACTCAGGATTGCAACAGCACAGACATTTTGATGCAATAATTCAGAGCAAGAGGTGTCCGTTATTGGACACTGTTCAATAAAAAAAATATTGCAAGAGTGCTCATGTTTTAAGCATGTTTTTATTTTAAGTTAAAAAAACCTTTGTGTTTGTGTCCTTTATAAAGTTTATATCTCTGCTACCTGGCATTACATTTTATGACACACATGGCCCAGCCCAACAAGGTCTCATTTATGTCAGATCCGGCCCTCATATCAAATGAGTTTGACACCCCATATCTACGGGGTGATTTTTTAAAATATCCAACCCTTGCTCAGGGTTGTAAGACTGGTGTTACTAGCATGGGCACAGACAGTCTGTTCAAAAACAATCAACGTGGCTGGTCATCATAGTAGCAGAGAGAGAAAGAAGTGTGATCTCGGATATCACTGGTTCAAACCTCACCTCGGGCATGAACTCATTAGGTGGCCCTTGGAAAGGCATCCAGCATCTGGCCTCCCATCCAAAACCCGAGGGCAGATGACACTGGCCTCCCTTACAAGGCTGTCGTAAGGATTACATTGCACAAAGTGCTGCAGATGTCAGAAAGCTCTGCAGAATGCCAGTTTGGTGTAGTTGTTAAGAGCGCGGACTCTAATCTGGGAGAACCGGGTTTGATTCTCCACTCCCCACGTACAGCTGCTGGATGACCTTGGGTCAGTCACAAGTTCTCTCAGAGCTGTTCTGGAAAGAGCGGTCCTCGCAATAGCTCTCTCAGCCCCACCTACCTTACAGGGTGTCGGTTGTGGGGAGAGGAAGGGAAGGGATTGTAAGCCACTCTGAGACTTTGAGCGGAGGGCAGGGTATAAATCCAATCTCCTCTTCTCTTCTTCTAAGTCTCATAATATATAGAAATCAGCAGGAGTCAGGCTGCCAGCTTCAGATTTTAGGAATGCCTGGCAGTGCCAGGGGTGGTTCAGTGATGGCGCTAGGGGCATTTTGCACGCATGAAAGGTGTGGGGCCTATCAGACCAGGCCGGGGGCTGTCAACGGAAAGAAGAAGATAAACCTTTGGCACAAAATGTATTCTACAGAGAGCATGCTGCACTGAACCTGTCAGGGCAAGCGAGGCCCTGACAACTGGCGATATTCGCCGTCACTCACCGAACCTCTCAAAGGCGTCAGCCATGGCTTGGTTCTTCACCATGTCGATCAGTCCCCGGCCCAGGCAGAAGTGGGGGAAGACCAGGAAGACCTTCTTTAGGATGACGTTGACGTCATTCAATTTCTGCGCCGAAAACAAAAAAGAGATACCGGTGAGCCTGCCATAGTTATGCACAAAGGGAGAGGTGCAGCCTGGCTTCTTTCCTTGCTGGACAACGCAATCCAATTACCATGTCAGATGACGCAGGGAAGCCATTGAAATTCATAAACACAATTTCAACAGGAAAGAAGAGAGTTTAAACAATAAGTAGGGCATGGTTTCTTGTCCTTTTGAAAAACACAAAATGATCTACATCTTACAACAGCACTACAGATAAGATTACAATTTCAACGGCCAGTCTATATGCAAAAGAACCTCCTTAGGGAAGCTCCTTCAGTAGCATGTCACAGCCTGGGGAACTCCTACAAGATAATGACTCAGCCCTACCCCACCTTCCGGAGTAGATATAAATTACCTGCCTACCATTTTCCTTCTCACACTGACACAGAGAGTACTCCATCTTTCTGTGTTATACCTCTGAGGATGCCAGTCACAGCTGCTGGCGAAACATCAGGTACTACAAAGACCATGGCCATATGACCATGTATGACCATGGACATACAGCTCGGAAAATCTACAACAACTAATGAACTCCGGCTGTGAAAGCCTTTGACAACAAGTCTTCATGAACTTTTAAAATTTCACAGTCTTTTTGTAGTGTGAAATGATATGTGGAGAAGATTTATATACAGAAGACTTATTACTTTTGTTTTCCTTTCTTCCCTTACCCCTGTATATCCCAAAACTTTAATAGTGTACTATACCAAAAAAATTATAGGTTCACTTTCCCAAAAAATATTTACCCACCCTACCAAAGAAAGGGAATAAAGAGACTTCTCTTGCTTCCTTCGTTGCCTTCAGATTATCCCCCAAATTAAAACCTACAGGATCGGTTCAGCTGCAATGTGACCGCTTTTAAAAGGCAGTTCTCGAGGGGGAAAGGTGAACCAGACCATCCTGAAGAATGCAAAAGCAAACAGGTTGAACAGCATCCAGCCAGGCTCACTTGCAGAAGCCACCTGATTTGGGGTTGGGGAGGGGAATGCACACCTAGGTAAAAGTGTAAATTGCTTTCATGCTGGGAGGAACAGTTGCCCTCCCATAGGAAGGAAGTCTAGGATCAGGTTTTCTTGAGAAGGGGACCTCCACCGCCCAGATTCACAGCAGCACAATACATTTCCAGAATTCAGGGAGGGCAGTTCAAGACAACAAATCCAGTTATAGGGTTCGAACCACCTGACACTGGAACTGATGGCTAGGTTAGGAATAACATGAACACATGAAGCTGCCTTCTACTCAGGAGTCATTTCGTAGAAAAAGAGCTAGGGGAACTCATTAGCATAACTCATTAGCATATGCCACATCCCCTGACATCAGGGGCCCGGCGGTGGACCTGCAAGGCCAGCGGGAGTGCGAGGAAGCCCCGCCAAGGCCCTCCCTGGCCCCAGGCAGGCAGGGGTGGGGAGAGGCAGGGAGGAAGCAACTTACCCTCCCTCTTCTCCTGCCTCCTCCTGGCTGAATGAGGGCCGGAAGCGGGGCAGCCAGAAGCAGGGGGCGGGGCTTCGTCATGTGCCCCGCCCCCCTGCACCTCACCCGGGGGAACTGCGTTCCCCCGCGTTCCCCCCGAAATGACCTCTGCTTCTACTGGTTCCCCCGCATTCCCCCGCATTCCCCCCGAAATGACCTCTGCTTCTACTTGGTCCACCAAGGTCAGTACTGTCTACTGAGACTGGAAGCGGCTCTCCAGGGTCTCAGGCAGAGAGAGGTCTTCCACATCACCTACTACCTGGTCCTTTTAACTGGAGATGCCAGGGACTGAACTTGGGACCTTCTGCATGCCAAATAGATTCTCTACCACTGAGCCACGCCCTATCAATGCCTAAGAGGTTTGTCACCTGTGCTTTAACCAACGAAGTGACTAATTGATTAGATACATTTGGATATTGACATGGTACCTTCAGTCAACATAAGAACATAACATAAGAGAAGCCTATGTTGGATCAGGCCAATGGCCCATCCAGTCCAACACTCTGTCACACAGTGGACAAAAATACCAGGTGCCATCAGGAGGTCCACCAGTGGGGCCAGGACACTAGAAGCCCTCCCACTGTTGCCCCCCCAAAGCACCAAGAATACAGAGCATCCCTTGCCCCAGAGCCCCTATCT